GTCAACCATGTGGGATCCAGTCGCCTCAACCTCCGTGCCACCTGCCGGCCCCCCTTGCCCATTTAAAACATTTTTTTTTCCTTGGGACCAGCAGTTAGCATAATGGCTATGTTGCTGGACTCTCACATAGTCAACCGCGGTTCGAGTCCCAGACCCGGTGGCTTAAACTCACGCCGGACGTGTGTGTGTGCGTGCCCAAGATCCCAAGAGGAGAATGGAGGAGAAGGGATTGTGGTGTGGCCATCCCCCCTGGGGGGTGATTTCTCACTTTCTGTATCTCTGTCTCTCTCTGTCTGGTGAGTGCATGAGCCCTATAGCAAAAACTTCTCAAAAACAAACAAACAAAAAACACCAACTTTTTTTTCTTGTTTTTGCGTTCTTTCAGCTCCCTATATATTTTGGACATTAGTCCCTCGTCAGACGTATGGTTTACAAATGTTTTCTCCCCTTCCTTAGGTTGTCGTCTCAGTATGTTTATTGTTTCCTTGTGTAGCTTTCAGTCTGATGCAATTTCATTAATTTATTTTTGCTCTTCTTGCCAGTGCTTTGGGGGCCCTAGCTAAGAAATTATTGCCAGACCAATGTCTGGAGGATTTTTGTTTTCCTGTCTTCTTCTAGTAAGTTTTATTGTCTAAGGTCTTTAATCTATTCTGAGTTTACTTTTGTATGTGACGGAACCCCAGTCGTTCTCTGGAGAACGCTGCTTTCCTACTTGCAGTCCTGAGGGTTCACCCTCACTCCCAGGCCTGTTCCCCGGGCCTGGCCAATCAATGTATTCTTTTTATTTTTTTTCTTTCTTTCTTTCTATTTTTTTTTCTTTGAGAGATTTTTGCTATAGGGCGCGTGTGCTCGCCAGAAAGACAAAGAGAGATAGAGAGACAGAAAGCAAGAAATCACCCCCCAGGGGGGATGGTCACACCACAATCCCTTCTCCTCCATTCTCCTCTCAGGATCCTGGGCACGTGTGCACACGCGCCCGGCGTGAGTCTAAGTCACCAGGTCCAGTACTCGAACCTCGGTCGCCTATGTGGAAGTCCAGCGACATAGCCATTACGCTAATTGCTGGTCCCACCAATCAATGTATTCAATATATTCTAAATCTAGCAGGCTGTGATGGGCTTAGGGAAGGGCATGTGACCCAAGGGCAGGACAAGGAAGCACAATTCTGAGTTAGGTGGACTGGAAAAGAGAAGGTATGTTTTCTGTTCATGGGATGCTGAAGCCATGCCATCTTAGAGTTGCTGCCTTCTCCTCATGTTTGTGGACCAGAGACAAACCCTTACAGTATAGCCTGCTCAATGGAAAACACAGCAAGAGGAGGGCCCCTGAACCCCTGGATCCAGACATACTTGAAGCTAGTTATTGACAGAGTTTGTGACCACCATTTTTCTTCAGGCAGTCAGCTAGTGGGTGGGTTTCTCCATCATCTGTCTTGGGTGATATTACCCAAGAAGAGTCCCCATAGCACTATGTCAAGGTCAGAACATCCGTTCCCTGAACTCACTCACAGAACCCTGGTCTATGTAACTGATGTATAATTCCACTATTTCTATAATTAAATAATGTGCAATCACATTATCTGTGTGACCTAGTCTAAGATCTCCCCAGACCAAGCATATTCTATCTGGAGGGCAGGGCAGCACCCGAGTGGTCCACAGATGTAGACTCCACATAGCACCTGGCACAGGGCAGGGATCAGCACCTCAGGGCTTTGTAGCAATATCTGGGGGGAGTGGGTACACCTTTCTCCTCTTCATATTCCTGGAGCCCAATACAGGGTCGGCCAGGCACAGAGGAGAGAATGGGAGATGCAGGCTACAGCACAGTAGCTGAGTTTGGACTCTGGAGTCAGAGAGCCAATGTTCAAATTCCAGCCTGGGGTGACCTTGGACAAAAAAGTTATCCTTCCTGAGCTTCAGTCTCACCAGCCAGGGACTGGGTTGGCCCCATCTCGAGCTGTTGTGAGGGCAAAATGCAATAACTTAAAGTACCTGGCACACAGGAAATGCCTACTGGTGTGGGGAACAATGTGATGGACAAAAGAGTCCCAGCTAGTGGCCTGGATGGGTCTGCCTAAGGTCAGGGCCCCACTACAGAATATGCAGGAGCCCTAGAGTCGTCAAAGGCTCTTTATTCAGTCTTGGAGTGGAGCTGGCCTGGCAGACGGAAGGCAGAGCGTGCTTAGGCCCAGGGTCTCAGCCTCTATGCAGCTCAGGGCTGGCCAGCTGGGGCCGGTAGGTGCCAGGTGCCAGCAGCTGCAGAGTGAGCTCAGTGATGACAGCTGTGAGGCCCCAGACACGGTGTGGTCCATTCAGGAAGACTGGCAGTGTGTAGCGGAAGTGGCCTCCCTGGCAGAAGTGGGTATAGCCCTGATTCTGTGTCTGAAGCAGGTGGGTCAGAGGCAGCGTAAACACCTCATCCACCTGTGGGCAGGAGGCAGGAGAAGGCTGCTGTAGCCTCTTTGCACTAGGACAGCCTGTCCCCCGCCCCCAGAATCCTTACCACTTACCTCTTTGGGGTTGGGCCTGAGACTCTGGGGATCTAGCGGGCCCACGCTGGCAAGCACTGGTACCACAGTGGCCTTTTGCTGAGATACAAGGAGGGCAGGCAGTGAGGGGAGGTATGATCCCATAAGGCTTTGGGGCTGGGGAGTGGAGTCTCAGAAGACCTTGTGTTGCCATCTTGCCTTCTCGCCTCTGCCCCTGGCTCCCTCCAGCTGAGCTGACCATCTTGGGACCCCAAGTGCAGTAGTCCCATTCAGGCCTCTGTTCCTCTGCTCAGGAAAACTTTCCCTTACCTTTACTACTCTTTTGTCTCTGCCTCCCGGGTGAAGCCTTCCCCGACCCTTGTACACTAAGCAGCTGAGCAGACCTGGCTCACCACTTTACCCCAGGGCCACCTCCACCTTGAGACCAGAGCCTCCCGGTTCCATCCTCCAGGGGCGATGTGGAGATGGAAGGAGTGACTGCCACGCAGGTACCCAGCACTCCCTCACATGCTGCCTGTAGGAGTCCATGGTCACTCTCCCCCAGCTCCTCACCCAGGGTGGAGATGAGGGTGACCCCAGGGCTCCATGGCTCACCTGGTCATGCACAGGCCGCAAGATGCCCCACACGTGCTCCTCAGGAACTGCCAGGCCCAGCTCCTCCCAGGTCTCCCGCAAAGCGGTGTGCACCACGTCCTGGTCAGTAGGGTCACACTTGCCGCCTGGGAAACTGAACAGCACAGGCATCTGGTCCTTGGGCTCTTGGGGCTATCACAGGGTGGGGTTGGCAGTGGCAGAGGACCAGTGACCCACCTAGGCATCGTCTGCCTCTGCCCCTGGTTTAGTGTGAGGCCAGGCAGGCCACATGATCTCTGGAGGCCAGTTTACCTTGCTGAGCAACGCAGGAAACGGAGGGGTCCAGGACAGTGCAGGATAAAATACGAGGGTCTGGCAGCACGCACAAAAAGATTCTGGAGCTCAGATTGCCAAATTGTGCCTATGGTGGCCCCAGGGACATTGATGTTACCTCTAAAGTGTCCTCAATTCCCGCTGAGGGCGGGGCAGGGCAAGAAGACAGCCCAGCAGGTGCACGACCTCGGCTCCCAGCCGGAGCCGCTCCATAATCGCCAGCAGGGGGCGAAGTCGTGCCTTTTTACAGAGGGGAAAACAGCTGAGAGGCGTCTGGGCCCAGGTAGTCCGAGCCGGGACGCCCTACGAGGACCCAGGAGCGGGAAGGGCGCGGGAGACACAGGTCACTGACTCCTGGCTGCCGCAGTCCGCAGGCGGGCAGGTTCTCCCCAGACTCATTTACAGATGCGGAAATCGAGGCTCAGAGAGGCCACATGCTTTGCCCAAGGTCCCTGCCATCTCCGGGGCTCAGCGGCCCCCTGTAAAAGGGAGAGGAGTTCGGTGGTATACCTGACGTCCCCCTTGTGCCTCCCGGCCAGGCGGCTGGACCGCAGCGTGTAGAGCAGCGCCGGGACCCCGCGCACTAAGCACAGCGGCACGAGCA